TTCCTTCCTTCCTTCCTTCCTTCCTTCCTTCCTTCCTTCCTTCCTTCTAGCCTTTCCTAGATACCAAGCTACATATCCAAGATACTTGTGGCATCCACAACCTTCATGGAATGCCAGGTTTAATTGGAGGCATCGTGGGAGCTGTCACTGCTGCCGCTGCTACAGAAACAGTCTATGGAAAGAAAGGGTGAGGTGCTTTAGGCCATCTATGTTGGGAAGGGTGTCAAACACAAGGTCCACGGGCTGTATCCAGTCTACAATGTGGTCAGATCTGGCCTGTGGGGCTGTCCTGGAAAATGTAAGTGGCTGGTTTGCATGGCTTTGACATGGTCTACCCAGTGCAAAGAGAAAACATACCAGCAGTTGGGGGAGTGGCATCAAGTTGGCCATGCCTACCCAGTTGGCCACAAGCTCAGCGTCTTGGCCACTGAGCCACTGCATCCCTTATTCATGATCTCAACCAAAAAGACTACAATTGTCCTTGATATGGAGGGAAATCCTCACCTTCCCCTCTTTTCCGCTTCACTTCATTTTCACAGGCTCATCAACATGTTTGACTTCGCCGGAGAATACCGAGATCGAACGCCTAGTATCCAAGGGGGATTCCAAGCAGCTGGCATTGCAGTATCACTAGCTATGGCTTTTGTAGGAGGATCTATTGTAGGTAAGTGGAGGATCCTTAATGAGAAATCTAACCTAGATTTCTTGGCTAAGACGCTGAGCTTGTCGATCAGAAAGGTCGGCAGTTCGAATCCCTAGTGCTGTGTAATGGAATGAGTTCCCGGTACTTGTCCCAGCTTCTGCCAACCTAGCAGTTCGAAAGCAGGTAAAAATGCAAGTAGAAAAACAGGGACCACTTTGGTGGGAAGGGAACAGCGTTCTGTGCACCTTCGGCGTTTAATCGTGCCGGCCACATGACCACGGAGATGTCTTCGGAAAGGGCTGGCTCTTCAGCTTTGTAACGGAGATGAGCACCACCCCCTAGAGTTGGAAACGACTAGCATGTATGTGCAAAGGGGACCTTTACCTTAACCTAGAACTAAGGAGAAATTTCTTGACAGTTAGAACAATTAACCAGTGGAATGCCTTGCAGTGTTCTAACACTGGAGGTTTTCAAGAAGAGATTGGTCAACGTCTGGAATGGTACAGGATCGCCTGCTCAAGCAGGGGGTTGGACAAGAAGACCTCCAAGGTCCCTTCCAAATCATATTCTGTATTCTGAAGTTAGCCTCTTTTTTTTTTGTATATTCTCTCCTGCTTGAAGGTGAGCATGGATGATCGTCTTTCTCTGCATCACGTATAATTCGAGGCAAAGCCAAGATTTAAATTAGATGAAAATTAACCAAAGAGAGGTCCCAACCTAGAACTAAGGATAATTTTCCTGACAGTGAGAACAATTAATCAGTGGAATGGCTTGCCTCCAGAAGTTGTGGGCATTCAATCACTGGAGCAGTGGTGGGATTCAAATATTTTCACTACCGGTTCTGTGGGTGTGGCTTGGTGGGCGTGGCAGGGGAAAGATACTGTAAAATCTCCAGTCAGAGGTGGGATTTGCCAGTTCTTTGAACTACTCAAAATTTCCGCTACTGGCTCTCCAGAACTGGTCAGAACCTGCTGAATACCCACCTCTGCACTGGAGGTCTTCAAGAAAAGGTTGAATAGTCATTTATCTAGAATGGTGTAGTGTCCTCCAAGTTCCCTCCCAACCCTATTGTTCTATGTTCTAACTGAAAAATCCTCATGCAGATGCAGAACAGCTGTTTTGAAATCTCTGCTTAGTCATTATCTCTAATTTTCTATGACTCAACCCAGCGCCTACATCTCTGATGTTTCCCTACTGCCATCTTCTGGCTTGTTAAGCTTCGGTTGAAAAAAAAATTAGAAAAGTAAAATCATCTTCCCTCTGAGCTAACAGATAATAGATAATAAGAGATAACAGGAAATCAGAGTTGGAAGGGACCTTGGAGGTCATCTAGTCCAACCCCCCGCCCAAGTGGGAGACCCTACACCATTTCTGACAAATGGCAGTCCAATCTCTTCTTGAAAGTCTCAAGTGATGGCACTCCCACAACTTCCGAGTAGCTCAACTACTGTAGACTGACATGGAAAATTCCTGCAGTTTTTTTGGGATTATAGGATGTGTTTCTTTCATATTCCCAGTTATGCAGCTCTTTCAAACGCCGGATGTCAAACTTAAGAGTAATTTTTTCCGGTTCTCATTAATTGTTGGATGTATCTTGGTGGATGTTTGTTTTCTCCAACATACTTTTTTTTTCTTTTGTGATTTGTGCCATGGTACAGAGGGCTTTCTCAGTTGAAAAATAAAAAATAAAATAAAAAAATTAAAATGCACCATAAGAGAATTTAGCATTCGATTTTTCTTTCCCCCAAAGGTGGCATTTTGAAACTGCCCTTTTTTGGTGACCCTACAGATGAAAACTGCTTTGAAGATAATGTCTACTGGGAAGTAAGTGGATTAGACCTGGATTAATTAAATTAATCCAAGTTAAATGTGGAGTCAGCACCAATGATTTATTCCATAGTCCTGGAAGTAAGTCTACCTGAAAGCAAAGGAATATGTATTTCATTAAGTGTAAAGCAATTCTGAACTGCAAACTGTTTCCAGGTTTTTTAACATAAGTCTTCTCTGATGGAGAAGGTGAACATGACATTTTCAGGATCGTTATATAAATACCTCAGTGTGACGTATACAGACACCCACAGCAACAACCCTGTGAGGTAGGTTGGCTTGAGAGATCACAACAGGCCCCAATTCCCCCAGGTTGCGTCCATGGGTGGATTAGAATCTGGGTTTTCCCATCCCAGTCCAACAGCTTCATCTCTTCATCATATTGTCTCTCTCCTTCAGAACAGGAAGAAAGATAAAATCAAGTCTAAATTTATAAAAATAAATAAATAAATTTGAAAACTGACCCTTAATTCAGGTTGAGGACTACCGGTATTTTTGATTTGATATGATAATTTGAAAACCAGTTTATCCTCACTGCCCCTGAGGAACATACCATAAGAATATTCCCTCTTCTATATTAGTGCCAAAATGTTCGAATTTCATTTCTCATCTATTGATGGTCTCTGTCTTGAGATCAATATGGCCAAACCTAGCTCTCTAATTGTGCATTTCATTGTTTTTTTTGGAACAGAACTCATATTCAAAGTCCTTGAAATATATTATTCTGGATGTAAAACAATGCAGCATATATTATATATATGAGTTAGATATATGGGAGCAGAGACAGAAATTCTCTCTCTCTCTCTCTCTCCCTCCCTCCCTCTCCCTCTCCCTCTCCCTCTCCCTCTCAAACACACGCGCATATCTATCATCTCTCAATCATCTATCATCTATCTATCTATTTCTCTATAGCTATATCTAGCTAGCTATTATCTCTCTCTATCACTATTTCTCTCTGCTCTATCCCTCTATATCTATATCTATCTATTTCATCCATCATCTATCTATATCAATCTTTAATCTCTCCTATCTATCTATCTATCTATCTATCTATCTATCTATCTATCTATCTATCTATCTATCACCATCCATCCATCTAATTCTAATCTATCTGATATACTGTATGAGGATAGATGTACTGCCACTAGGTGACACTGTTGTCTGCCAAATAGCAAGCTGGGAGCTTACCAGCGTTACCCTCCAGGCATATTGGATTCTAACTCCCATCCCTCTCAGCCACCTAGCTGTGTGCCACAGACACCGTAATCCAGATATCTTGACAGTGAAAGCAATTGATGCAGGAAGAGGGATTTTTTTTTTAAAGGTGATTCTGACTCACCCCACATTCTGTCATCCTTCTAAAGGTCCCTGGCGAGGAAGAGAGCAACCTTTACTGCATGCATGACTCCAATGCTAAGCCTGTGATTAACCCTTAACCCGGGACATCAACAGACAAAGGGTAAGACAGACGACTTGACCAATTTTATATGCTGGCTTCTTTCTATCTTTCTTTTAAAATATTACAGTACCACGCAGACCTGATCAGGTTCTCCAAGGGTATTAAAGCCCAAATGAAACCAATGCACAGATACTTTGCACACACTTGCCAAAAATTGGGCCTACAGCCTAAGTTTTATATGCTTTCAATGGAAAGAAGCTTTTTATTTACAAGGCATCCTTCCTGATATTCTTTAGTGGCTGGTTGATTTTCATAATGGCAATATCCAGCATGTGCTATCATAATCTTATGCCCCCTCCCCCGCACTCCTCACCCTAGTGACAAAGGCTTCTGGTTTTCTGCCTTATGCTCAGAGGGGTTCAAATGTTTTCCATCCTTCTGCAACTTTCCTGGCTGCTCCCACTTCCCAATCTGGAAAATCCCCATAGGAGACATCTTCTGCCTTGGCTCAGCATTTGATGGAAGCATGTGAGGTCCGGAAATTTGCAGCAAGAAAAATTATTTTGCATGCTCTCTTTGTTGACCTTACTGCTAAAGTAATGCAAGAACAACACTCTTTGATTGTGAGAATTGCTGGCTGTGAGATTCTGGGAGCTGAAATCCACACATTTTAAAGATGCTAAGGTTGAGAAACACTGGGTTATAGTACACAAAATATTTGTCAGGTCCCAAGCTGGAGAAGGGACCTATAAATAGACAATAAGAAATATTTCCACAGCTAGTAATGGGATTTCTCTCTTTCTTTTCTTCTAGGGTGATCAACCTCTGCCTTTGGAATTCCCCCCCCCCCCACCTTTTTTTTACAGCAGAATTAAGGAAATGGAAGAAGGCAAAAATATTATCATTCAAATGAAGAGATTATTTTTAAACATGAACTCACACACACAAAAATATGCAAACAAATTATAATGAAGTTGAGAAGGGTGAATCCTCAGATTCAGAAGCATCTTGCTAAAACCAAAACAAGTTATGAAACAACAATGACATAGAATAAGCTATAAAATGTTAGAGCTTATTGACCAATAAAAAATGAGTGAGGCATTCCCCACAGAGCTCTTAAAATGAAATAGCTGAAGTTTTAGCAAAAGCATATAACTTTCCCTAAAATTGGCTGTATTTTATTTAATTTAAAGGCCTGGAGATTAGTTTTTTTTAAAAAAAAAATATAATAAGGAAGGAAGGCAAAAGAAGCTAAAAATTACAGCTCCCATTCTAGGTAAATTTGTGGAAAGCATTAGGAAAGATAAAACTACAAGCCATATGGAAGAATGAATATGGTGGTTTCTGGGCAGGCAAGTGTCACCTCCCCAATTTTTAAAGAGTTTTTTAAGGAGTCAACCTGATCAGTCTTTTAGCTGGATGCTTTAGCCAACATCTTCCCTCAGGGAAGCCTTAGTCAACCTACCAATCAAGGGAGAAGACCAATCCTTTCATAGATGTTGCAAGACTTAGAAAGGGGGAATGAATGTAATGCGAGTTTTGCAAAAGAAGAATGCCAGAAAATAAGACCATCCATAGGATCTATACAGAAATTGGGGCATTTTCCAAAATGATCTAGTGAACAGCCCAGAGTAGCAAAGTGGTTGAATTTGCAAAATTGTCAACCAGCTCTCAAAGGGCTCCCAGGTGAGATTCCCTCTCATTGCATGGAAGAAGAACCACCTAAGTGTTGTTATAGGTCTTGGGGTGGTTGTCTACAGTCTGATGAATATCTTGGCCCACTCAATGGGACACCAGGTGTCACCAAATCAATTAAAGGCCTTGAGGCTGCAACAGACAACTATGCTTTCCTAAATCTGTAAATGTTGTAAGTAAAGGCGTTTTTACAAAAAGTGACCAATGTTTGCCATGTTTTATCTTCCACCCAGACTGGTTCTTAGAACATTGAATATCAGAGTTGGAGGGGACCTTGGAGGTCTTCTAGTCCAACCCCCTGCTCAAGCAGGAGACCCTATACCATTTTAGACAGTCTTTTCTTAAAAGCCTCCAGTGATGGAGCACCCACAACTTCTGGTGGCAAGCTGTTGATTGTTCTCACTTCCAGGAACTTTCTCCTTAGTTCTAGGCTAGGTCTCTCTTTGATCAGTTTCTATCCATTTTTTCTTGTCCTGCCCCGAGGTGCTTTGAAGAATAGGTTGTCCCCCTCTCCTTCGTGGCAGCCCTTCAAATATTAAAACACTGCTATCATGTCATTCCTGGTCCTTCGTCATTTCTTTCTTTCTTTCTTTCTTTCTTTCTTTCTTTCTTTCTTTCTTT